TTTTTATTATTACTTGCAATGAGACATATTTAAGAAAAACTCAGAATTGGGGTGTTTTCAATATGGAGGATGGCAAACTTTGTGTATTTGATTAGGTACTAAAAACTCGTAAATACCCATTTGCTTTTTACTTGGATCGTAAGATCATTTTATCTCAAAATCGATAAAAACGTGGCCTTCAAAAATATTGAGCCGTTTGGCGTGACCTACACCCCCGAATTTTTAAAATAACGAGGTTATATAGGATAAACAGCCCAATATTCTTGTAGGCCATCTTTTTTTATCGTTTTTTTTTTTTCAGGTTGCCGGGCAACGGCGGTGCAGTGCACACGCTTTAGCCCATTCGGCCACCCCGCCCTCAATTTTGTGACCAAATTATCTTACGATCCAAGTAGAAAGCAAATGTGTATTTACGAGTTTTTAGTACTTAATTAAATAGACAAAGTTTGTCTCCCTCCCCCCCCCTGCAGATTGAAAACGCCCCAATTCCAAGAGTTTTCATAAATAAAATAGTTGTAGGTTACGATGAGATGAAACTATTTACGAAGTTTCAGGCGGATGTTAATAATTCGATAAACACTGGTCTGTACCACAGACTAATATTATGTATGGAATGTGAAGTTAAGAACAGGAGTGCCCAGAAGGGGGTTTCAGGGAGCAATTTGTACCATTAAAATTTTTGAGAGGGGACACGTTTTGTTGTGATTTTCTATTTTTGAGGAGAGCAAATTTCCATTGGATAAAAAGTTTCAAACCAGAGAACAAGAGGAAAGAAAGCAAAAAACAGACCACTGAAACTGTCATTGTATATGAACTATTATTTTTAAAATTCTACACTTGCACTGCTTTTAAGAAGATGAGAATAATAAAATATCTAGGGAGAAGGGCGGAGGTTCAGGCCCCATTGACCTTGGGAGAAATAATTCAAAATATTCTCAAACAGATTACTACCAAATTTTACTCATACAACATAGCTTTATTAAAAATGATCATATATAGAAAAGTGAAATTAATTATCAGTGTTTCATAAATGCAATAGCAACTATTTTACAATTTAGCTATCAGTATACAATATTGAAATAAACTATTCTAATCCATTAGTTAAACTAATTTATCTTTTTTTTAAGTTAATGTTCTATTTACTCGAAAATGTATAACCATCTACTCGACTAAATAATGGGAATAAGGTTATCAGTAACTTGAAACAGATCATAAAACTTTAAAGTTAAAAGATGCTAAATCAAGGTAACACAGTAAAATATTATCTCTAGATTTACTGTAATAAACCGAGACCTTGGCTCCAGATTATATCATTATATGAAGTGTTTATTTTCCAATTGAATATGTCATAATTTGTCCATGTCATGCTCTTATAATTTTTTTTTTTTATATTCTTTCCAGATTGGCTTAGTGAATCATTTGTGTGTATTTTAAAAAATAAGTAAACTTTTTAATAGTTGACATAGTGGGGGTATAGTTTCATACAAAAGAGACTATTAACGATATATATTTTTTCTAATTTTTGACTAATTAGTGTATTAAACTAAATAAATAAATAATAAAAATTCAATAAACAAAAACAATAGTATTAATATAATACAAATAATTATTATAATAGGCCATAGAGGAAAAATATTTTTTACAGAATTGAGATTTTAGAATATTTTTTTCATTCTCATTTTATTTTTCTGACCTTCAAGAAGTAATAAAATCTGAAATATTGCACTTCTTACTAATATTTTGGATTATCTTCTATTACTTTTAATATATATATTTTTTTTTTTTTCTTACTCCTGTTGACTTTTACTTTTAAGTCATGGGTCTTCTTCAGCAGGTTGGAGCTGTTATATGCGACTGTAGTGATCCTTTGGTTATCTCTTCTTCAAGATATCCAGGAAGCGTGTTTACTAACCGGACGTGATCACATTTCATTCTCTTTTCATCAGGATCTGAAGGATAGTTGGCAATCTTTTGCTTCAATCTTCCTCCCAGTTTTTTTATGGGATAGGGGATTATCAGCCCTATACCCAATTCCCAACCTGGAAGACCAGGAGCTATGGTTTTAAGACAGGGGGAGGGCACTAACTTCACTATGAATCTGAGGGTGGGGACAGGGACAGGGGACCGAAAATCGAACCCACGCGTAATGTTATAAGTAGTCCAGTAGAGCCTACACTTATTAATTTTAATTTATTATTATTTATTTTATATATCTATTTTTTGTTATTAATATTATTATATTATATACTCTTAATATTATTATTTAATTATTATATTAGTTAATTATGATCAATTAATGATAATGATTGCCTATAACCAGATTATATAATCTTAATTTTGTTTGTGTATGTGATGTTCTAATAGTGTGAATGTAAGAATTTTGGATTAAAAGCCTGTAATATATTCAGCTTATTTTATTTTTATATTTTGAAGTGAAAACTTCTTGAGGTGTGCTTTGCACTTTTTTTGTGGGCAGTGAATGAAATTGAGCCATCATGGTCAGATGTGTAACGCTCATTCGGGTTAAGTCGTCACAAGTCGACTAATTAATGTGTTTTTTCCATATGGATTAAAATATCTTCAATGGAAGTCTTGGGCCGACAATAGAAAAAAAATATATATATATCTCAGAAACTAAAAATCAGACTTGCATATTGTAAGCGAGGGAAATTTTCAGCATTTCATCCTCTTTGTAATGAGCTATAAATAAAAATAATATTTTGACGTGACGAGTTAACGAGTCGGAAATGGAAAAGATAGTGTCAAAAACCAAATGATAACTAGTTTTGTTGAAGATATAGATTAAAATATTTCAGAAACTAAAAATTGGACCTGCATATTGTAAGCGAGAGAAATGTTCAGCATTTCATCCTCTTTATAATGTGCTATTATTCAAAATTATATCTTAACATGACAGTGAAAGAAAGAAAAAAATATTTTATGCCAAAATATAACACAGTCTTCATTTTATCCCAATTATTCTGTTATCTCCTTATATTAAATTTTTTAAAAATGTATTACTTGTCATAATATTTTACATAGATTTATATGCTTTTCCATTATATAGATTAATTACATATTTTAATTTATCTAACACAATGTAATTTTTATTCACTTCTTAGTATTTACTTGCTAGTCATTTTCTTGATGATATGCTTGTAATATGTTTTGTTTGGTTGTTATTTTGTCTTTCTTAAGCGCTTACGAAGGCATAAAACTTAGACCGAAATACAAAAATAAATTTAAAAAAGGGTAGAAAAAAAAAAAATTGTTTTTATTATTTTCTTTACTGCAACACAACGAACTTCCCAACTAAATTATTAATAATAAAAGCTATTACAATTTTTAAAAAACAACATTTTTCCAATATTTTTTCATTAAATAATCATATAATATATAATTAAATAATCATTAATTATGTATTTGACCATGAACACATTTCTTTTATGAGGAATTGGCCATCAGCTTTTAGTGAAAAGATTTATAAATAACTGTTTGTGATATGTTATCTTTAACAGATTGGATTCCCAAATTTAGCTCTTATAATAAATTTGAACAGATAAAATGTTTAATGACTGATTAAACAGATTAAAGTTTTAATATTACATTATTAGTTTAATTAACATTATATAAATCAATTATTTTTTCTCTTAAAATTTATTTGAGTAGTTATGTATTTTTCACTTTTTAAATGTCATATTTATAATATATAAATATAATCTTTGAATTTATTTTTTTTTCCTCCCGAAGTAACCCTTTGAAAGAACTGTTTATTATGTTACATTCCAAATGTATATTACGCACCTAAAATATAACATTTTATCAAATAACATTAACATTAACTAATTAGAAAAACAATTCAATTTAAACATAATATTTATTAAAAGCATAACAAAAATAAACATTAATAAGAAAAAGGTACAGAAATCAATGAACATAGTCTCTTAAAATTAAAAAAGTTATAAAGCAGGTAAATATAATTGTACATTTTCTTTATAAATTAATATATTATACTCAATTATCGGTGACCTTATCTAATATGCTTACCATTTACTCAATTTTTGTTAGTTGGTCATAATCTAGACTATTGATAAATTTTGTGAGGTCTTGTCGAAAGTTATTATACAAGTCAAATTCTGATATTGGACAGTTTTTTTCTTTTTAAAAGTTTAGTCATAATCAATTTAGATCTATGGCGTTCATATAATTGACAGTCACAAATTATATGTTTAAAAGTTTGTTCTTATCCATCTAGAGAGCAGGTACCCTCACTAATTAAATTGAATCTTTTTAAGTATGATTTGGTCTGTCCATGTTCAGTTAAAATCTGTGTCAATTTTCTAATTTGTAGATTTTAGTGAGTTATAGTTGCTTTTTGTTAATTCTGGAATAAATCTATGCAAACTGGGTGATTTTTCTGAATCCATCGTTCGTTCCAACATAAAATTGAATTTTCTCTAATCTCATATCTTAGTCTTGTTATAATATATACATTCATACATGGTTGGATTAAAAAAAAAAAAAGTAACAGTGGAGTATATAAAATAAAATAAGAAATGCTACAAATTATTACACAATGGTTTATTATTTCCAAACCATTATACATCCAAAGTAACATTACTTTCCTCGTAACATAAAGACAAATAAACAAAAGGTGATTCCTAATATTGGTCTAAATATTTTTTTTGCCTAAATATAGATTTTTTTAGGAAATTTAGTAAATATTTTTAAAATCATCTACATCTACAAAAAAGTTTGATCTTTTTGCATTATTCGGAAATCTATAGTCTACATGATACAGGTCTTTGGCCTGCTTATAAGAAAAGTACTTTTAAACATAAAATATTAAATTTCAAGAGGGGTTAAGTTTTTAAATTTTTGGTCGATTACAATGGTTCATTATTCAAAATATCTTCATAAGTAAATCTTCTACTAGATATATAGTCAACACTTCCTTTTATTTTTCTCTTAAATGTATTATTTTACATCTTCAACATTTATCATTCAACAATTATCAAATTAGTGTTTTCAGGATCTTCAGTGTATTTGTGTTTATGTTCATTAAATAATTTAATAAGTTCCTCTGCAAACAAAGAATGGTAGTGTTCAATTTGTTCTGTAGAAGGCTCATCCACTTTTGGCAATTCGATTGGTTTACCAACTGAAAAGCAGAATAAATTATCAGTTAAATATATTTAAAAAATAAAGTAATCATTTATCCACTAAGTTTTACTTCAAAATATAATAAATATATGATACTTTCTTATCACACTGTATCTAAAAAAAAAACTTATTTTTTATTCAAGATGTTTCCATAACAGCATTGGGTTTTCTTAACCTAGATTTTGTATGGCTTTCTTCCTGATCTTTCTGATTAAGACATGGAAGATGATCTTTATTTGATTATTCTGAGTTTTTCTTTGCCAAGGTTGTCTTTTTTCTTCAATCCATTTTCCAAAAGTACACTTCCCTTAGCAGTTTATTTTTTATGACACACAGATTCCTCAGATGGTCAAAAGACTATGTAGTGAGTCTGATTTTTGGTTTAAATCCAAAATTTCTTTTTTTTGTTTTTGTAATCAATCTTATATATTATTTCTGAAATAGATATATCCCTTTTCCGGCTCTCAGAACTGATGAGTTTTGACAGATGTATCAATAGAAAGGGAATATCACATAGAGTGCATGAATCATAATTTTGATTCCTAATTCTATACCAGGACTTAAATAAAAGTGAGAGTTTCCAAACCATATGGTGGTGCCGTCTCAATGACTTGAGACATTACAAATGAATTCATAATTTGTGAATAGCTCAAAAAGTAGGCAATTTTTGGTTTATTATACATGAGTAATTGAAAGCTGCTACACGTAAACAAAAAAATCATCGAAATTAGGTGAGTTGGTGCAGAGTTATAGCGTTCTGAACATTTAGTATTTGTTGTACTGCAAATTTTTTTTTGCACATAGGAATTTAAGGTTTTGGAATTTGTCCTTTTTTAATGCATCAATTATTGATTATTCTTTTAATTTGAAAACATTTTGTTATTTTTTAATTAGTCAATTATTAATTTTATTTTTATTCATATAAATGTGTTTCCTTAAAATACTTCTTGGAATGTTTGTCAATCAATGTGCTTCAATTACTTTACATTTTTCTTTTAGATCTTTATTATTGAAGTTTATCATTTTAAAAGTACACTTTCATTTTTTTAATTTATTTTTAATGATAAAGTAACATACATCCTAATTGTACTAACTATTCCTCCTTCATACTTTGAGCCCTTTGTCTTTTGCTGTCATTATAGCAACGTTTCATTTATAGAAGCTTTATTTAATTTATGAAATTTATTGAAGGATAAAGCTAGTATTTAAATTATAAGTTTAAGTAAACATAATAGTTAAACCATGGCAGATTGTAAATAATATTTACAACTACTAGCTTTCTAAATATAAGTATTAAACCTTTGTGTATCAAACGTTATTGAATGGAAGTTGTGCTGAGCCCTAAATGTATTAAAATCAGACACAAATATTAGGTTTGTGCGGAGTATTTGCACGGGTCAGCTAGTATTCTGTAATTTTGACAAATAAAAAGACTTTTTCTTCTTCTTCTATATATTTATTTTGGTTGTAATAATGATATTCCCATACCATAACATTTTGTTAAAATATTATCTTAATATAAAACATATATATATATATTTTTTTTGTTATTTTAAACTTATTTCTTTAGAGACTAGAGTGTCAAAGGTAAGGACCTCCCATTACTAATTTCCATTTTTTTTTTTATTTTAGAAATACAAACATTAATAAAAATCATGCACTCTTCTGTGGGATGTTATCAGAAATGTAAGTCTACTTCCAGAATGTTAAGCAGGGCTTGAAATGGAATTTAATTTTTAATTTTAATCAGTTTCGGTATGACTCAAATCTTTATTTTAATTCTTTTTCTGTTATTTTGGAGCTAGAATTTTTCTCTTGCAACTTTTCAAGTTAAGGTTCTATGGAACTTTTCTTTTATTTAAAAGTTCTGTTTATTTGTCTAAGAAGTCAATCTAAAATATGACAAAAAAATGATTAGCTACACAAACAAACAACACCTTAGAATTAAATAATTCATTTAAGATAATTTATTATCCCTATAAGAATATAGGGACAAAGAGATATATGCATGTTTTGTAGACCTCACTAATGCATTTGACGGAGTGAAGAAGCAAGACATAGCAAAAGCCTTAGAAGACAAAAGCATCGAAATAGGCAATTCTAAGTCTCTATAAGACTCTCTATGTCTCTATGAGAACATGTAATAATAAATCAGAAGAGTTCACAACTAATCAATTTATTAGGCAAGAGTGCAATCTAAGTCCTCTGCTATTTACAATAGTGATATACAATGCAATAAAAATAGCAAAACAAAATATGAGATCATATCAAATGGGATACAGAAATTTACAGCCTATATTTTTCTCTCTGTTCGCTTATGCAGACGATTAGGTGGTTTTCAGAAACAATGGACAAAATCTGCAATTCAACTTCGGCATTCGTCAGGAATAATTAAATAAGATAAATATACAAATAAATATGGATAAAACCAAAACTATGAAGATTGGCAGAAAACAAGGAAGAGGAGACAGAATAGTGCACTTGAGTAGAGTTCCATTGGAACAAGTGAAGAATTTTAAATATCTCAGTGCCCACATCAATGAACATGGACGAATCAACGGAGAAATAAGGAAAAGAGTGAAGTATACAGGAAAGTGCTTCAACGCCATCAAGAAAGGATTCTAGAACAAGAGAGAAGAGAGCAGGAAGACCCAAACGACCATGTACAAAAATACTTTTCTCCCGATAATGACCTACTCCAGTGAGTGATGGATCCTCACCATAAAACACATCCGTCAGATTCAGACTATGGAGATGCGATTCCTGCACAGGGTCGAAGGAAAAACAAAGAGAAATCACATAAAGAACTCCAAAATAAGGAAAAATCTAAATGTTAGACCAGCCGAAACTGTGATAGAAGAAAATCGTTTGATATGGTTTGGCCATGTATCTCGAACGCCCGAGAAGCAAGTGGCCACGATGGCATTGGAAAGTAAAGTCCTCAACTTCCCTCAGAAGAAGACCTCAGGGAAGATCCAGGAAGACTTGGGAGGTCAGTACCAAGGAGGCCTTTGAAAGATGGGATAGTGGCTGGAGGAGGTGGCAGTTGGCTCAGGATCGAGAGTTGTGGATTCGGCTCTACAAGAAGGCTTGTACCGCTCAGTGGTAGAAGAGGAAACAATTAAACAATTAAACTAAGAACATTTACTGTTCATTTCTCAATTAATGTAACTTTTTTTTTTAATTAAATAAAATAAAAGTTAAACTTTTAATATAAATCTAGGACTTCATTGCTAACAACTTTCTTAGAACTGTTATTTAAATACCTTTTTCCTAAAAAGTTTCCTAGAAACTATTAAAATGACACTTCCAGTTTCCACTCTGGGTGTTGTTTTTTAGATTTAGAAGTTATGCCACATCATTCCAGAAGGTTTAATGATAAATTGCTTCATTAACAGTGATCAATCAATTTTTTTCTGATTTTAAATATTCTATTCTGCAGATTTTCAATTAATGTTTCATTACCTACTGTTGTAAGGGGTTCTCTCTTTGGCATTAAGCTCATGAGCCCAGGTCTACCAACTGGTCTCACTACAAATAAACTCATCTTCTTTAGGATCCAGTGTTGTAATCGATACATGAGGCTCCCTGGCTCATGTAATGCCAGATCATAAATGTTAACCTCACCAAAATTGATCACTGGCACCAAACAACATCTGAAAATTTTATATTTTGTTATTTTCCTAAAAGGAATTACCTGAGTAGTACATAAAAACATGGAAAACTTTATTCAATAAAAATATGTTAAAAAATAACCTTTGTGTCCAATTATTTGACTTTTCTACAGATTTCTGATAAATTTAAACCACTATTAATTTAAGTTTTGTAAGAAATTTAACAATTACCTCTCAAATGAGTATCTTGAATATTCCAACAGATGGATTTATTTTTATTTATTTATTTGAAAAATTAAAAAAAAAAAAAAGAGGTGTAAATGTATTTCCATGGAATTCTGCACATAATAATTTGAAAAACATGGATACTAGTTCAAAAATTACTGTACTTTCATTACCTTGTAGTTGTAGGATGTAAAACATTTTTTTTTTTAAATGCATAAGAGAGAAACGCTTTATTTTCATAAAAGAGTGCTGCCCAATTATATTGGATTGCTAAATACACAGCATACTTTTTAATCACTATTGACAATAAATATACAATACCATTTGAATATATATGAGTATAAGAAATAATATTTTTTTGTTCATGCTTTTTTTCCTTTTTCATTATTTTTTTTCTTTAACATATAATTTCCCTTTCTCTCTCTTTTTCTCCTTATATATATTTCTCTTATATTGTTTCATTACTTTTTCCTCACCTAATTCCTACCTTCAAATGAAAAACACTAAAATTTTTAAAATTATACAATAATTTTTCATAATTAATTAGAATTTTTCAGAGTGACTTGACCTAATTAAACACAACAGACATTATTGTGGTATATTTCTTTTATGATATTTATCATGGGCTCTGATATATTTGCTTCCTTAAGAAATTCCCACAATCGCTTCCTTGGAACTGAGTTGTATGCCTTTTCTAGGTCAATAAAGAGATACTCCACATCTTTAGATTTTTCTAGATGTTTTTCGAAGACCTGTCTCATTGTAAAAATGTGATCGATGCATGATCTTTTTGCGATAAAGCCACTTTTGTATTCAGTACCACCATATTCCCTTTCTAACCAACTTTTGACAAATCTGCTATGGAGTTTCATACAAGGTGGTGGCACAGGTACCTTTGATCCATACATAATTTTTTGTTACCTTTTTTTATATTTGGGTTATAAATTACCTAATTTCAATTTATTCGGCATTTCATTTCCAGCTAGGATCTTGTTTATTAATCCTGTGAGGATTATTGCCAGTTTTTCACCACCGCATTTCTGGAGTTCCACAGGTCTGAAACACCAAGTCCTTAATCTTTTCTATTCTTAGCATCTTTTAAGACTTCTTTTACATCTTCAGTGGATATTTAGTATGTTGTATCTTTGTTGAACAATGATAATACAAAATAAAAATATACTATGATAACTCAAAAAGAAAAAAGTACTGTGACTGTTCCTACATTACCCTTCACTCAGAGCTAATTTGATAAATCCCTTGCGTTTCTTTAATATAATTTTATATTCTCCTCGTTTCATTAAAGCGACTTCACTTGCTCCTCCGACCATCAGGTTGATAACGTTTCCCTTGTTACTATCATTTAGCATATATTTCAAGCTTCTACTAGATGCTGATATTGCACCTATAATGATTTAAAAAATATATATTCAAACACATGATTGTGAAATTATCGTTATTATGGTTCTTCATTACTATCATTAAGTGATTATACAATAAGATTAACATAAATTAGTATTAGATTTATACATTCTTTCCAGTATTCATTCTAAATAAAAAAATAGAACATTTTAATAATATCATTTACTAAGCCTTTCTATGTTTTTTAAGAATAAATTGAACTAGTGAATTTGTTTATATTTGATAGTCCATATTATTTTTTTTTTCTATAAAAAAGTTTAATATTAATGTCAAACAGGGTAAGAATGGCCAACACACATGGCCTTATAGTGGGACTAATAAAGGAAAACTCACCACATTGGCTAAAATTATTTTATTTTTTTTTTAGAACTCCAAAAACTAGAAAAGCTGCTTTATTGATACCTTCTGGAATTAGTGAAAATATTTTCAGTCGGCATAATATACATTTTTCACTGTTTTTATTGAATAATTCTGTTGCAAACCTAGTCATTTTGTGGAATTTCACACAATTTGTAAGTTTTGTAAAATTGTTTGTTTTGAGCTGGTGGTTAATAATTTTTTCTTGAAACTTTACCAACTTTTTACTATCATTCTGCTTAACTAGAAAAAATATAATAATGTATAAAACTTGTTTTAATTTGACTCTTTTCTCTTTTTTGTTAACAAAATAGGTGTTTTCAAATACAATTTTTACAAATACCGCGATTTAAAAAAAACTCTTATATCTTCATATTTTTTTTTATTTTTAGGAGTCATAATTGTTCGTATAAATTTGAACCGCCATGATCCGCCTAAAGGTAGTTAAAAAATGTTTAAAATTATTTTTGTATGAATGTCCGAACAATTTTTAGATATGTAATTGGTAATTGCCAAAAGTAGGAGAACTGTGATTTTACTTTCACTCACCTATTTATGTAATATATAGTAAGGATAAGTATTGCGATACTGAAAATTTTTGAGTTTTCAATGGAAATACACTTTATGAGATACCCTGAGTCCAAATAACCAAGTCCTGAAAAATGGTCTGTGTACCTGTGAACACTCTAACTCAAAAACAAAAAGTCATACGAAACTGATATTATGTATTTAAGATAACTATATGCCTTAGATATTGTAGCAACTTTTTCCTTAAAATCGGTTAAGCGGAAGTGCAACTTTATATCAACGCTCAAACACATTTTTACAGTTTTCTCAAAAACGGCTCTAACGATTTTGATTAAACTCGGTGTATCATTGAATAATTAAGTGGTCTTTAATACCATTTAGTTCTTATCCCTGTCGATGTCACTTTACAGGGCTTAAATGCCCAATGTTCATATACATCTTCCTCTAAAGTAGCTTTAATATGGTTCATTTCTGATAATTAACTATCTTTCATTATTAAAAGTTATGAAAAAATGCTAAATATAACTTTTTAAAGAATTTGATAATTCAATAAAGGAAAACAAAATAAAAATGCTTATCCAGGTCGAACTGTGAAAATGAATCTCCGGAAATACTAGTCAGAAGGTATATGTATAATATATCGCTGGAAAGTGGAGAATTTTAGAAAAAAAAACAATATCTAATATAGAAAGTTGTAGAAGGTAACAACGAGTGGCGAAAAAATTATACATTGTTAAAAAACCTATTTCATTATACTTGTATGAAAGAAGTAAAATATAAAATCATTTCATGGATGTATAAAGCATATGTTTATAATCTTAAATACATTTACTGTAGTTTAGTGATTATAGATCTTATAGATCCGATATTATATTTAAATTTAAATGGATTCAAGCCAATGACATTGTTTAAGATACTATTTCATTGTACTAGTGTGAAAAAAGAAGTGGAATATAAAAATATTTCATGGGTGAGTTTATAACGTGAAATATATATGTTATAAACTATGTTTATATATATATGTTAGAGCGTTTGTCAAGTAAGTGTTAAAGTAGTCGGAAACATCGAGCTGTTTCTTGTCATTTCAGTCTGGTATGAGGATTCCAAGTGAAACATTTGTCCAGATGGAGTCCTAGGTAACGAATTGTTCAACAGGAATAAGTGAGATGTTGATTCATTTTTTTTTATTTATTTTTTTTTTTTTTTCATGAATTTGAAATATGTCTTGGTAAGGTGAGAAATAATTCTAATAGAGGAATTCTTGAAAAATACAATAACATCAACATTTAAGAGTTTTTACACATAAAATTTCAAAGAAATATTCTTAAGCATGTCAGCTACTTGAGCAGTTTTTTTTTCCTGTACCACTACAACCCATGAAGGGTCTTTGGTTAAGTATTATTTAGGGAAAGCACTGTTTCTTGGTATACGGTTGTGCAAGGAGATGATTTGACGGAGATCACTCTCAATCGCCAGGTTTTCCTCCTTAATTAATTATTTCAATTAAGGGTACTCACTTTATAGAGGCTGGGTGTGCCCAAGTAGAGTCTACCTACCCAGGGTCGTCCCACGGCCAATGAAACAGAATAAATAATTTTTCTAGCCGGGATTCGAACCTGGGACCTTTAGCATTGGAAGCTCAGTGCCCTACCACTGAGTTACCCCACTCCCCTTGAGCATTTACCCTATGCAATAAGTAAAATTTTTTTTATCAATGAAGTTTGTTCACTATTATTGACGCATGTCTAACTTACTAAGCTATTAAACAAAACAAAGAGATCAAATCTTTTATATATCATGTAATGTGAACATTGCTCAAAATTAAATTAAACCAACTTTAAATCTCTATAAAATATACTTAACTTGTGCTAAGACGTAGTCTCTCAATAAAGGAAAAAAAAAATTAATATCTGAAGTAGCTGCGTAGAACTTGAGGCCTGGAAACAACTTAGATTTTGGAGAATCCTCAAGAACAAAGTTAGCAAAACCTGATGCACTGACTAGTCCATGTGGGAAAATGCAAAATATGTAGTTTCTTTTAGGATCCAAATAAGCAGTCTTAACCAGTCCAACTGGAAAGTAATCTCTTATATATCGGAGAAATGGCAATGATCTCATTATCCATGAGCTGGAAGTCAAAGAAAATATATATATAAATATTCACAATCAAAAATATGTACTGAGGAATTGAAAGAAATGTACTGATGTTTCTACTGACAACAATATATTTATAAACCTCCATAATAATGATTACTTAAGTTCTATTCTTGATATAAGTTATAATAAAGGCCCAGATTTTTATACAATTGGATATTTTGTTTGCGTAATTTTTTTTAACTGCTGATCAAAAATCTTTTCGAATTAGTACACTGTGAGGCAATTAGCCGAATTTTACTTTTCCTATTCGACGATAAATGCATATATTTCCATATTTGGGGATAAAGCATGAAGATGCAATTCAAGATTACAATCTTAGGTTTACTTTTAATGAACAAACATTTGTAAACTTTATACATATCTTTCGCTATACCCTTCAATAATTCTCAACATTGATGATCACAGATTCCTGGAAATCCATTTCCCATTCTTCTTCAACATCATACTAAGTTTTTATTTCAGTTTATTGTTTACGGTCTTTGGAAGAGTCACATATCTGTTAGCTAAAATGTTAAGAGCAAGAACAATACTTGTTATGTTTTATTAATATGTTTATTTAATTATGTGTTTATACAATAATTGTTTATTCATTTGCATATACTTTATATTATTTCGATATTTTAATTTTTTTAATATTTCGACCATTATAATGAATATATATGTGTATTATAACCTTATTTTCTGTCCATGTTTAGTTAGTTACATTCTTTAGTTTAGATATTTAAAAAAAAATAAATAAAAACGGAAATTACTTTAATTTTTAATCCCACCTTAATTTCTTTTTTATTTTAAAACTTTTTGTAGGCACATCAGTATATTTAAATTCATTGCTGTATATTTAGAGATTAATTATTATATTTTTCATGTTTTTTTTTACTGCATATTTAAGGGGTTTTTTTACTGCATATTATATGGCATTTTCTGTGGGGTTTTACTGCATAATAATCCGGACTTTGGTTATAATATATGCAGAATAGCATGAGCATTTTCAGAGGGTTAAGAGCTGCCTTCTAATTTGGAAAAAAGTTAAGAATAATATTAAATAAAATAATTTAGAGATAGATAATTTGTTAACTTTTATTTTAAAATTATGAGGAAGATAAATATTGAGGAATTGCAGTTTAGATATGAATAGCCTCATATCAAATATGAACATCTGTCTTTTGTTAAAATTTGAGATAAAACCCATTTTTTAAATCATAACTGAAATTTAAAATTAAATCTTAATCATCTTTTTCATGATTCGACTTTGAAATTCTTAAATAAAATCATCAGATTCATTTTGAGACAAAGCATGGCACCAACTTTATTCTGTTGATAGTGAATCTTTATTCCTCGGTTGCCATAGATCCCTAATCACATAAAAATTAAAATATCGTATTAATAGTAGTCTATCTTTATATATTATTTTTTAAAGATTTTTTTTATCGGTACTCCAAATCTTTGTTAAGTCTTCATGAAATATAATGATTGAGAGTTCATTTTGAAAGTTATCTTCTCTTGCAGATGCGAAGAATAAGCAAATCCCTCAGAAATTCAGGGAAAAAGTTATGAAGAAAAGAAAACTTTGCATAACTCAAAAAGTATAAAATTTAAGACCGATTAAACCCATTATGATTTGAATTCTTTCCCTACAGAATGAAAAAAAAATTAATCAAAATCGGACCATACTAAGCAAAGATACTCCTAAATATAATTTGTAATAATGCTTTTGTCTATTATTTTTTTCAAAAATTAATTCTTCCCTGAAAAAAATACATTAGTGCACCAATAAAAAATATATAAAAATTGATAATTATATAAATAATAATAATAATAATACTATATTTATTCTGGGACGAGTCCCTTTAGAATAATACAGCAAGACAGAAATGTGGGCTAAGGGAGCTTCAGAGATACATAAATAAAAATACAGAGTAATAGAATAGTCTTAGTGTATATATATATATATATATATATATATATATAAGTTGTAATAAGTTAAAGGTAATTTTTGTTAACCTTAAAATAAAGAAAATTAAATTTTCCTTAATTACATCCTTTTTCTCATCTCTGTCAGCTATAGGAACATTTTATATCAAATAGTGCCAGCTACTGGTACAACTAAACTATTCTCTTAATTTTCAAGTTTTTTAAATTGAGATGAATATTTCATGAAATTGCAATATGTCTTGTTAAGGTGAGAAATAGTTCTATAAGATGAATCCATGAAAAATATAACATCAATACTTAAATTTAAGCGTAAAAGTTCGTAAACCTATGACTTCCTGTCCTATAATATCCTTTAACAATTCCCCACTTATTTCTGTTGAACAAATCCGAAAACTATGACTCCATCTGGACAAATGACTCACCTGGAATCCTCATAAAAGAATGAAACGACAAGAAACTGCTCAACATTTTCGACTACTCCAGCACTTACTAGACAAACGCTCTAAACTTTCTATATATTACAACAGACCCATACATGACTATAATGAGGCCAATTTGGATTTACTTAATTGAGCTTTGGGGCTCCACTAAACCATCAAAATCCTCAATACTCCTTACTTTATCACAAATAAAATCATTCATAACGACCTTAACGTATCATATGTTTCCGATTTACCCCAATGCAGATACCTATCCTTCCATAAAAAACTTCAAAACCATCCGAATCCTCTTGTTTCAAACCTTGCTTCCTCTTCGATACCTGATAACCCTCCAAGGCATCTGAAAAGAAGATGGCCTCGTGATCTACTTATGTGAATATATTATTAGAGTGCTACCAATGGGTAGGTTCTCTACAAGCGTTTTTATGTGATTGTGTTACTATAATGTGCACATTTACTGGATGTATTTTTAATTTATACAGTTCTAAATTTCATGAATAAATTTAAAAAATAAGAGAAAAGCGTAAAAGTTCAAAGGAATTTCCTCAATCATGACATTTCTACCGGTGCATTTAACTTACTGAAATATCAAAATGATATTTACCTTCTCCCGCCTCTATGTGGTGTCTCTCTGTCATACCACACCCATATAAATGTTATCAATAAAATTGGCCAATAGCTTGAGAAGAATAATAATAACATTATAAATAGGGCTATCAGGTGACCATATATGAATGTAGTGTAATATGCTACCACCAAATTCTGAAGAAATCTTTCTATCAAAGAATACTGCCTCTTCATGGCGGAAGAATTATGTTAAGGGATACTTTTTAAGGACCACAATATCTGCAAAAAAATATATATTATTATAATAATAATAAAATATTATTAAAATAATGGTATAAATGGAAAAATCTGTACCAGCTAGCAATGAGCCTGTATGTTGGAGACTCATAGCTTTGTAGTATGGATTTTTACTTTCACTTACTCATTTATGTAATATATAGTAAAGGGAGGTATTGCGATCGTGAAAATTTTCTAATCTCAGTTTTCAACGAAAATACACGTTTTGAAGTCCCCTGAGTTCAAACAACCAAGTCTCGCAAAATGGTCTGTGTGTGATAACAGTCTAGCTCAAAAACGAAAAGTTGTACGAAAATGAAATTGCATATTTAAGGTTGTTATATGCTAAGGATGTTACAGTTTTCCAACTTTTCCATCAAAATCAACTGACCGGAAATGGCACTATATATCATGGGCTAAACACATTTTTACGATTTTCTCGGTAACGGCTCTAAAGATTTTGATTAAATTCATTATAATCAGTGCACGGGCGAATCTACGGGGAGGAGGGGGGCTTTCGGGCTGAAGCTCCTCCAAAATGGTAAAATATAACCATGTTTTATGGAAAAAAAATTTAAAAATACCTCTTAAAGTATTATTGTTCTTGTAATTACATTTAAAAGGACTTAAGGAATCACTTAAACACTATTTGTTATAGGTAGTTAGTTTCTTTCTGTTCTTCCAAACTTATTATCGTTATTTGTATGAAAAAAAAAAACTTTCGGGCTGAGGCATCTTCCAAAATTAAATCCTGGATCTGCTAGTGTATCAGTGTAAAATTAACCAGTTTTAAATAAAATGTAGTTTTTATTCTTGTTGATGTTCTCTAACAAGGCTTAAATAGTAAACATGCTTCCATACGTAACATGAGCTTATTATAATACGGACTCCGACAATATTATATAAATATACATATGTGGTTTTCAGAAATGCTATTGTTGGTATTATTAAATATTTAATTGTATAGATTACACCGATATAAATATTAAAATTTTTATATATATAGTACCCATATATATATATATATATATATATATATATATATATATATATATATATATGGGTACTTATACAAATAAAAATACTCACAATGAAATATAAATAATTATAGCGTCTATAATGTTTACTTTCACTTCTCCTTTATCTGAAAATACTTATTTCTGCTAAGAGGGTGGTAAGTGAAAGTTGTGCGATGCGCGCACAGCACCAGATTTTTTTATTTATACCATAATCTTCTTATGTCTCTTTTATATCTTAATGTTTATTTTAGTAATATTACGTGTAGATTGGCAGTGTATGCACTGATTTTTGTTGGGATCTTATGTAAACTCTCCGTCAAAAGTATCGCAACACTTTGAAATATTTGAATTTTACTAAAAGGCCTGTATATACTTACGTATATATGTAATACATAGTAAGGATAAGTATTGCGATCGAGAAAATTTTTGAATCTGAGTTTTCAACGGAAATACACGTTTTGGGGTATTTTGAGTCCAAATAACCAAGTCCCGAAAAATGGTCTGTGTGTCTGTGTGTATGTGAACACTCTAGCTCGAAAACAAAAACTCCTACGAAACTGATATTACGTATTTAAAATAGGTATATGCCTTAGATGTAGCTGCAGCTTTTTCCTTAAAATCGGCTAACCGGAAGTGCCTCTTTATATCAACGCTGAAACACATTTTTCATAAGAAAGAAAGGTTCTGAAGTCTATGATAACATTTTTAAACTGGACATAAACAAGTTTTATTAAAATAAATCACAATATTTTTTCCAATAAAAAAAAAGTTAGAAAACTCACTTTTAAATTTTTCCATTTTTACAATTTTATTTTTAAATTACAATTTAAATGTTTAATTTACAATTAAAAAGACGTATTGCCCCCTCTGGCTTGAATGACTGCTTACACTCGTCATGGCATACTTGTAAAAAGATTTTGAAGAAAATCTTGGCTTATAGATTATAATAGAATAGAATCGAAAATTGAACTTTATTCTGGGACTAAGTTCCCTTAGAATAACAATGATGAATTAATAAAAATGTGGCCAAAAACTAACTTATAAAAATTCTATAAATAAACCAAAAAATAAATAAATAAATGAACATAAAATCTTCTCAAAATTACTTATTATTGTGATGAAAAAAAAAGAAAAGAAATTACATATTTATATATACATAACTACATAATTTATAAACAACAGGCTTTATAATAGATAAATAACTTAATACAAAATGTAATAATATCTACTGTGATTTATATAATAATATGCAAACAATAAGATAAATAAAAATAAAATCTCAGGATTACTTGTGGTGTAATGGGAAAAAAAGAACTCATATTTGTATACAGAGAGAGAAAAAGTATAAAATATAAACATATATACCCGAAAGAAAAAGCACGACCTTAGGCGAATTTACAAATAAATGGTAAAAATCACTAGCGGATCCAGGATTTAATTTGAGGAGGCTTTTAATTTTGCGAGACTTGGCTATATGGACTCAGGGTGCCTCAAAACTTGTATTTTCGTTGAAAACTGAAATTCGAAAATTTTCATGATCGCAATACTTTTCTTTACTATATATTACATAAATGAGTACTAACTTGGTAACTAACATGGCTACATTTTACCATTTTTTTTGGGGGGGGGGGCTTTAGCCCGAAAGCTCCTCCCCCTCCGTAAATCCGACTGTGGTAAAAATAATAATCAAACTAGGTGACAAACTGAAGATAAACATGGACTGAAAGGAAATTTTAAATGAATAAACCAAATTTCCATCGTTTGTTGGTAAACAGTGAATAACAATGATGTCCTAATCCCTATTGTCTTTCATTTAATAAGTAATATTACTGTGAATATGAACAAAGTATGGATTTCGGTCAAAGCCAGGAAAATCTCGAGAATTTTGGATGTTGCAATACTTTGGGAGTGTATATCTTCTAGTTTTTTCTTTTTAATTTGTTATATTTTTTTAATGTATTTAATTTTACACGCTTTGTATTATTATCTTCTAGTTATGCGTATATTTTTACTTTAAATTACCTATATATGTAATATACAGTAAGTAAAAATATTGCGATCGTGAAAATTTTTGAATCTGAGTTTTACACGTTTTGAGGTCCCCTGAGTCCAAATAACCAAGTTCCGAAAAATGATCTGTGCAAAGTGCAAGACCAAGACCGATTTTGGGCATCACTAATTCGGACGCACTTTCAAATCTCTCTAGGCATATATGAGCCTTTCTGTTGACAGAATGACTAACTCCAAAGTCAACATTCTTTATTATTAATTTTAGTGATGTTTCTAGTGGGAAAATGTATACCTTTATCCACAGTGTTATAAAGGTATAAACTGAAGTTGTGTGGTTTATAAAAGCAGGTGGAGGAACTAGATTTTTATCGTCTACCGTCGATATAATAAATAGACATTTGTAATTGTAATGGTCTTAATGATTTGTTATCTGTAAGCTTTAAGGTTTAGTTCTGTTTAAAATACGCTAAAGAAAATTTATAATAGTCCAACATTGTCAAAAAATAATTTCTTAAAATTAGAGCGGTAAGTGAAAGTTGTGTGTTGCGCGCATCAGATTTCTTTTCCCTTGTATTCCATCAATACGTGGAGGAGACTCAAAAATCACGGAAGTAAAGCGACGCAAGTAGTAGACCAACCTTTATAAGGAAAGGGAAATATTCAAAAAGCTGACAAGAAACCTTGAATCCTGCAAAAAATTTAATTTAAACGATGGTCCGATTTTCCGCAATGAAGCAGGAAATTTATTTGTTTTAAAGTAAGTTTCTTTTTTTTTTTTTTTATGAATGGGAAGCGATAACAAGAAAATATTATATTTAAATAATTAACCATTATTTCATGGTAAAGTACACGAAATTTCCTTCAAAGGCAATTAGATTTTGACTTTTTAATAACCATTCAAAGAAGATTTTTAAATGGTCAAGTTCTTTCATACATTCATGTTCATTAAATCATGCATTATTCACGATTTTAACTTTCGCTTACCTATAATAATAATAATGCTTAGCGAACCCGAAGGTTCGATGCCGAAACCGCCAATCGATATCTAGATTCTTCCACACACCAGGCTATGTCAAAACCCAACTTTTATCTAGTTTTTAATGAAACAATAATTAATTATTTAACTTAAATATTTCTTCAGTTATTGCTTTCGATTCAATAAAAAACACGACTCATTTAAAAAAACACAAAACTTGAATTTCCTACCGTTTTGCTGAAAATTGGCCCATTGTTTATATGAACTTTTTAATAGCTCTTCAGTTCTGCTATCACTTCTATAAAAATTTCCCTCTAATTACACTCTGTATAGAATAGAATAGAATAGAAAAATAATTTTACTCTGGGATGAGATCCCTTCAGAATAACAAAAAAGTACAAATTAAAATTTTACATCTGGCCAGATAAAAACAAACATAACAAATTAAGATTAAGATAGGTCATTAAAAAACAGAAAAGAAAAAAATATTGGTTATACATACTATATACAAAATAAAATAAAAAAAATCTATATAAAAAACTCTTGAAACCATATTAAGATACTTAAAACTATGTACAATGTTAAAATATAAATAAACCCTTTTAGAAAAAATAAAAAATACAGAAAAAATAAATGTATATTCTTCTTAACAGTAAAATCTGTTTCTGTTGAAAAAAAAAAAGAAAAAAAAAAGAAAGTCGAATCTATAATAAGTATTTAGGTATGAGCTGTATGTGAATATGGTCTTATAGATAATATGTAATTTTACATAAAAGGTTAGCTGGTGCCTGATTGTTTTTGGGACAGGAATTGGAATAGGAGGGTTTTGAATGTAGATAAGGATGAAGAATGTCGAATATATTGAGGAAAAGTATTCTGATTGTGCAAAATTTCAAAATGGTCTCTATAGTACCTTCAATATGGCTTATTTGAAATAATATATAGTATCTGGT